TTTGAAAATTGGCCTCCGGCTACCTCACTCACCAGACGAAACGCGAAAGTATATGTCATATTTCCATTTTACGCTGGTCTTCTGTGAGGGCGTGGTACTTACCCGGACGGGCCTGCCCATTCCTGCAACAGCCGAGGCTGTTGCTTGGCCCTACCACCGTTAGATTGCACATTTCCATCTATTAACACGTTATTTCCTCACTAGAACTTTAACAACGCCGTACCTATAGATTTCCAGCAAGCTTACTATTTATTTTATCGTAGCGATAAAAATATTAAAACACCACGTGGTTTTAAAGTTAATTAATAGTAACATCCTATATGTGTTCCACTGCTGGGCAACGGCCTCCTCTGCATTAGGGCATAGTCCACCACGCGACCCCATTGCGGACTGGCGGACTTCACATATCTACGAAATATTTATTTTGTTACTTCGAAAATCTGCAGGTTTCCTCACGATGTTCTCCTATATCGGTGATCACGTGATAAGTGAGCACTTAAAATTAACAATTTCAATGATGCCGGCACCGGGGATCGAACTCAAGATGCTCGAGTATACTGAATTGAAAGCGAGAGCTCGGCAATCACGGCTCATTCTAAATGGAATTTCAAGTTTTATTCCACTTTATGTCCGTTCATAAAAAAACTGAAAAAATATTTCGGTCTCTACGTTTACATAGAGATGATATCGCATTTTAAAACTGTTCAGTGGATCCGGCGCCGTATATACGAGGCTTGAGTTTCCTTGCATACTCGTTCGTGCTTTATTGGATCATAAGTGAGCGCCCATACGATGAGCTATTACGACATTTAGTCCCTGATAAAAGAATATTACTATTATGGCGGATAGAAAATTGAGCGAAAAATCTATTCCAGAACCGAAAAAAGGTTACGCGCGAAACGTTTTGTTATATTTATTGCCAAATTTTGTTTGCCATGCGTCTTGTACTCGATCGACAATGTCCCTGGGCAGTATGGTGGAAAACAAAAGAACCGGCCAAGTGCGAGTCGGACTCGCGATGGGGTCCGTACCATTATCTACAAAACGAGCAAAAAAAATGTCTGTTCTATGGGAGCCCCACTTAAACCATTTTTATTTAGTTAAAATACTAAAAATTTGTTGTTATAGCGACAACAGAATTACATCATCTGTTCAAATTTCTACTGTCTAACTATCACGGTACATGAGTTACAGCCTGGTGATAGACGGACAGAGAGACAGTCGCAGTCTTAGCAATAGGGTCCTGTTGTACCCTTTGGGTACGGAACCCTAAAAAGGACAAAAAATTCCCCGTCGAATTCCGATGGGCTCACCAGTCGAGATTCCAGCGGCGAATACACTGTCGCCACCACGCGCTCGCGACTATTTCCAGCAGATGAGTCACGTGGCGTCACACTGTGAGCTCTAGCGACGTCTAGTTGGACCCACGCTCGCCCCGCGGTGTATTAGCTACTTGGCAAAGCCTCGTCACACCCGGGCGACAGAAATGCGTCGGCGGTGTTATTCCGATGAGGAGTTTTACGAGCGTCATATGTCCGGACCACCGCTTGGAGTGAGGACAACAACGGGAAACATAAACTTCATGCTTATGTCAATCCGATGGCTCGGTTGGCAGTTGCTAAGCGATGGTCTTGAGCGTCGTAGTCTTTACCATAAGGGCACAAGGGGCCCGTCGCCAGGGGCTCCCGCATGGCCTATGAATTCGTTTAAACTATACATTTTTTTCTCTATTTTTCGTAAATATATTCCGACAGAAGTTTCACTACATAGTATATAACAAAGTCATCCCGCTGTCTGTCTGTCCCTATGTATGCTTCGATCTTTAAGACTACGCAACGGATCTTGATGAGATTTTTTTTACTAGATAGAGTGATTCAAGAGGAAAGTTTATATGTATAATACATTTCACCCGAAACCGGGGCGGGTCGCTAGTATAGAATAAATAAAAAAAATAAAATAATAGCAGAATTTTTTTTCATTCACTTTTTTAGAAAGAAAGAAAGAAAAATATTTATTTTGTACATAAACGAAAAAAAGACACATAAAAGACATAAACACGGTAATTTAGTTACAAAGCGAAAAAATTATTTTACTTTCCATCGAGAAATTTTTGTGTGCCCTAGGGCCCCGATATGGCCTAAGACGGCATTGAGCCTTTAGGGTCCTGGTCCTGGTCCCTCTCCGACAAACGTTTGCATGACCCACAGATGTTCCGGATCTCTGCGCTCAATACAGGTTTGTCTTATCTTGCATTGGGGTTAATTTCTAAAGTATAATGAAAAAGGATATAGTTAAAAGAAACACGTTTCAGTCGAAATTGTCCATTACGAAAGAGTTTATCAAGTTTCGGCCCATTGAGTTCATTTTATTCAGGATTGTACACGCAGAGACAAATATGAGACGAAATCGTTGAAAGAATGGGCTAACTATGCACCGTCGGAGTTTTAGGCAAATTATAAAATATTCGTCGACCCGTGTGAAATTTTCACAATCTGTTTATCGGTCACCGAATGGTTAAATAATTGTGTAAATCAGTATATATAAATGTACGATAATGCCATCTATTGACACTTTGTTCAAACTATCATTAAAACAAATAGTCAATAGATGGCATTATCATAAATTAAATTTTAAATGAAGAATTGTCTCATGAAAACCTTTATTCTTCTTGTCTTATTTTTGTCAAAAGCGATATGACACTACATTTTTCCATCTGGCACAAGAGGCAGATCCACTATCCACTACGCCAATCGGGTCGTCTTTAACCGTTCCAGAGTTTGGTTGAAAGAATCCGATCACAATCACAATCTCACAGAAAAATGTCGTAAATTGGAAGTATTACAATTCTACGTTTCGTCTGTTGAGTGAGGTAGCGGTAGTGGGGCCCCCACTTTATCAAAAGGAGGCACAACTTCTGCAACCATACGGTTGTTGTAACTGATCAAACCTGATCGCTAGCATTGAAAGGGACTTCGCAGCTATTAAATCATCTCCGTCTACATACATTTATATAACAAATACATTGAGATACACTATAAAGCACGGAATGCGGTGTGTCGGCATAAAATGCTCTGATTTACGGGCAACGCCGGGCGCTCAGCTTATAGGCGTGCGCGGCAAGTCACAGTTTAAAATTCTTTCACGTGATATAATTGGAGTAACGACAGAATATTACGACCTCGTCTACTCTGTTGCCAAAATGACTTTCCACAACGACCTTTTTTTAACACACTGTTATTAGTTCCACGTGTATGTAACTATTTATATATTAAAATATAAATTCAGTAAGTGTTCACTAATATACGACTTTTTTATACGGCGGTTCATCTGACGTTAAATAATAGCCGCCGCCCCCGGACATTTGCAACACCCGTAGGGTTGCAGATGCGTTGCCACCTTTTAATAAACTAGGCCCTGGTCACCTCACAAACCAGAGGTAGCGCCGAAGTATTAAACTTCAACTTCACGCCGGTCTTCTGCGAGGTCGTGGTAGGTCCCCGTACAGATCCAAATCCAAATCATTTATTCATCGAAATAAGAAATATACATTTCATTGATCGATAGTCATTTTTTAAATCTACCACCGTTTCGTAATGAGGTTCCTCTAACGGAGAAGAAACAGGGGAAAGAAACTCCGTAGGTATCCCCTTTTTTTTACTCAACAAATACATTGTTATACAGACCTGCCCATACGTACAACAGTGAAGACAATTGCATGCCAACACATTAAGACGTCGGAAATCATATTTACTATAACTAGGTCCATATGTGTAAAGTCGTCTGTTTAAGGTGGAGAGGTAACCTTTCATCTTTTGATAGGTTAACCTAGCAGCAAGTTATTTCTGATGATTCGTTTACTTGAAATTAATTATTCGAAGACATTTCCAGAATGAGATAAATATTGCTTTAAAGTAAATTTAATTTTGAACTGCCTTGTTAGAGCTTCGGTAACAGCATTTTATATCTTCGCCTACAATTTAACCCCAGTAACAAAGGGCGTATGAAGTGTATTTATTGTTTGAATAACAACGGTTAGTGATAAAGTCGTAATTGCTACAAGTATGTAACTTGATTTATTTTGCAAAGCTAATGCTAACATCCCGAATAGGTTAGATGCTTACTACATTTAAATGTTTGAAACTCATATAATTGATCAATGCTCAATCAATAGTGATGGAAAAAAGTAAAGTGCCAGCCTATGTCACACTGCTCCGTAAAGGCTTCCTCCTACAGGAGTTATTAGGCAGATTTCACGTATCTTCGAAATACGTTCTTTATTATTATTCCAAAAATATCTAGGTTTCTACACGATGTTTTCCTTCACAGCTGAGCACGAAATAAGTTAGCACTTCAAATTGCAATCAACAATTTAATACCGGCACTAGGATTTGAATCCGGGTTGCTTAAGTATAACGAATTGAAAACGAGCACCCGGACACTGAGCTATAGCGGCATTTTTAAATGGAATATCAAGTTCTATTCCGATCACTTTATATTTAAACTGTATAATTATACTTCTGTCTCTATGTTCTCTCATATCGCATTTTACAACTTTTCAGTGACTCGGGCGCGGTATAAGAATTTTACGAGGCTCGTTTCACTTTATAGGTGTGGCTTGAGTTTTCTCTTTTCATGCGTTCGTACTTTATTACCATCCCACGTGATAAGTGGTCTGCGGTGGAAAACTCAAAAGCTTAGTAAAAACTTATTCGCGTGTGCTTTGAAGACGCTAAAAGCTAAAATTATATCAAGTGACCACACCGAAAGAGACCGGCGAGTAACTCATTTGATTTTTTTCAAATTACCGTGCGGTCGTACCGATGTCCATCTGCCTATTAGCGGCATCTAGTGTAACATCAGCGTAACTCTTGTTAATTTGCCATTCCTATTAAACGTCATGAACTTATTTAAAAATGGAACCGTTTTTACGATAGCTTTAATCGAGGGGAACGCCAAAATCGATAATACGATCATAGACGCTGAAATAAATGCGAAGTTCAATCGTGAGCGAAGTCTAACGCTTGAGAAGTCGAAGCTGGTCTGCATCGAACGGTCGATTGCCGAAGCAAGTGGAGCTTCGGCCATTTGGCACCTCCCCGGCGGGACACCTCGATGTGAAGTGTCGCGCTGAATTCCCCCGGCCTCGGTTCTGACTTGAAAATAATCCGCCGACATTCCCACCGCGGAGGAAGTGGCGCCGCAAACGATGTCATACGAAACGAGACGCCGAGTTTATTTCTGCCGCCTCCATTCCCGTCAAACGTGGCGACGTCATTAACTGAAGAGAAAGATGGCGGTCTTTCTCTTCAACTAATAAGGCAGTATTCGCCACATTTCTTAAATTATTCTTAAGTAAATTAATACAATATCTTTAATTATTAAGCTGTTGAAAAAAATTAGGCGAGTAGAATAAAGTTAAGGTTTTTCATAAAAAAAGCTTTCGTTAAGAATTTAATTTATGATCACGCCATCTATTGACAATTTGTTGTAAATCGTTTAACGGACAAAGTAACCTGCTTCACGTATGCTCCAATAATCTCTAATATATAAATTCTCGTGTCAAGGTGTTTGTGATTGAACTCCTTCGAAACGGCTAGACCGATTTTCGTGAAATTTTGTGTGCATATTGGCCAGGGTGGAAAATCGGACAACATCTTTTTTCATCCCCCTAAATGTTAAGGGTGCTACACCTAAATTTATTTTTTATTTTTATATAAGATTTTTTGTTTTTATTTTTTTATGATACAACATACAAAAATACATACAACCCTAAATTTTCACGCCTCTACGCAGACGTAGTCGCGTCAGCAGCTAGTAATATATAGCGTGTCGTTACAACCGCGACAATAAATGAACACACGTCTAACGCTACTTACCAATAATCATAAAAAATATAAAACGTTAAAAAATCCATAATTAAAAAAAATATATTTTTCAAACAAACTAATTAAATAAAAAAGAAATAAAATTTGTTACACCTATACAACTACAACTGACTGATTCATACATTCAGAGACTTTCATTCGTTGTCAAGACATCGCATTACAAGTCTCTCATTCTAACAGTATGTTTTATCTCTTTTAAATTCATTCAACCCATTCATATGCCTTGTGACCTTTACATATGAACTTTACGTTACAGTTTTATACGTAAGGGTGTTCTAAAAATGTTTGTTTTATAAAATTTAATACTCGGTAAATATTGATGTTTAAAGAACGTAAATGCTTGATACAATTTTAAAAAGTTATCCTCTATATGTGTTTTTATTTATTGTTGGTGTTGTAAATACATTCTGTATAAAGACAAAGATTTTTTACAACGAATGGAATACAGAATTAATTGACTTCCTTAATACTATGGTGATACACTGGACCTGTTAAGAGAAATAATGACATTAAAAGTATCTCAAATAGATAGTCATTCTACAACTACACGTCTTCATTCAATTCGTTTCAAGGCGTTGTTGTATGTTGATATTAAAACATCCATAATTGTGCGACAGTGCAAAAATAAAAAACTTAACTCCATTATTCACCAGGGAAACCGCCTGAGTAATCATAATTATTTATAAACCGATTACGCATGCAGACGCCAAAATGTTGGTCCCGAAATACACCCCTAATTGCGCCGAAGAGGTCAATAGGACGATATTAAAGATAAAACGCTGTAGCCACGCCGCGGCGACCACGCGACGTAATATTGCTCTTATTATCTTAATATAAACAAATTCCGCCACCTGCCGCCATAAAATATCACGCTAATCTGCGTCATTCATGGTTCGGATTCCCACTCGCGCTCCAGTCACGCATTTTTATGACCTATTTTTAAAAATAAATGTCTTTGGGGTTGCTAGAATACCGATTTTCATACTCGCACGAAAAACCCCCCGATGCGTCGTCACGTAATTTAAACACATTTGATGTTTAAATAACTGTTATGTGAAAACCAATTAATTTAATTTCTAAATACATAAATGCATTTAAGAATGTTTTAAAATGTAAAAATAATAAATGAAACTATTTTTTACGGATTTATCGCGTTTATTTTTAATTTTAATTCCCACGTTTCGAACCCTTTACAGCGTTCATGGTCACGGGACAGACGGGAATTAAAATTAAAAATAAACACGATAAATCCGTAAAAATTAGTTTCATTTATAATGTGTAATCGCGTAAATACAAGAAATTATTATGTAAAAATAATATTAAACTTTAGTCTTATTTTCTTTTTTTAAAAGCATTTTTAATTGAAAAGATGGCCAGCGAGCTGGTGGTTCACAATGCTGAGTGATAATCATCGCCCATTAACATTAACAACACCCGTAGGGTTGCAGATGCGTTGCCATTTTGGAATAAAGTGCGCCCCGGCTGCCTCACTCTCCAGACGAAACGCAGAAGTAGTAGTAGTATAACACTTCCACTTAACGCCGGTCTCCTGTGAGGTTGTGGTACGTACATTGGCGTATCTAGGGCTATTTTTCAGGGTAGGCCTGGGCCTTTACTACAAAAAAATACGAACACTGTAGAACTGTTAAACACAACGAATTTTGATGCGCTTTTCAGCAATAGATATTATTCAAGTGGAAGGTTTACAAGTAGCATATATGCATATTATAGTTGAGAAAATTCGAGAAATTCAATATCTACATTCCACCTCGCTCGCCTCGCTCGACTTCAATCTACTTTTGGCGATGAAGGATAGGTGTCTAGCCTAGAATTTCGAATCGGTAACCTAAAATCCTGGGGTGGGCACTAGACCATACTAGGGTGGGCACGGCCCACCCGGCCCCCCCGCTATATACGCCTATGGGTACGTAACCGGACGAACCTACCCATTCGTGGAACAGTGAAGCCTGTTGCGTGGCCCTACCACAGCTAAATTAAATATTTATTATTGAATAGATATGTTTCTAATGAATTAAAGTTCTGTTTGGATAAATTAGATTTAGTAACACGACGACCCCTTTGTCCTGCCTTTTTGACTTACGTCTTTACCTTTACTTTAAGGTACATTCAAATTTTATCGGAACCGGAATCCATCTATACGCAATCCTAAGTATTTAATTTTATTCCCGCCTACATTTAAGCTAAGCACAAAATACATAAATAAACAAATAACTAAACACGACTAATTAATACTCAACAATGCACCTGAATTCCTCAAAACTGTGTAAATCATTACTTACATGTGCATTATTTATAAAAAAAATAATTAATACAATAAAAAATCTTGAATTTCGAGAATGTAATTATAGAAAATGAATGATTTCTGTTCAGAGTAAGTGAATTTACGTTTACCAATTTTTTGTTTAACGCCATCTCTAGACAAGATGACATAACTTTTAAAAAAGACTGGAATGATCTCTTTTATCTAAGTTGTGACAATATATTAATAGATGGCGCTGTTTCGTATTAAAAACTAAAATACATGTAATTGAAAACACAGGAATAACGTGAACGTGGTCGTGTATTGATGGGATTATTTAATAATGAAAACAGAGGACAATTAGTCACAAAAAACGCAAATACCGGATTTTAGGGGGACTAAGAACGTACCCATGACGAATCTCCTTAAATCGTGTTGAAGAAAAGACGATGGGCAGATTTCTGCAAATATTTATATTTGATAAATAAACCTTAAGAAATGGCAGGAGTACTTGTAACTTTTAAATGTTTTAAGCATTTTGATTTAGGCACTATGGACATATGGGGATATGGACTCGTTGCTGAATGAAGAAAGAAAACAAAAAAAGTGTTTAAATTGTAATTTGTCTTGGTTTTTGTTTACTTTTTATTTTTGTTTCCTGAATATTACGTTTCGTTTAAAATCCTTGGTTCTGTCATTAACAAAAAACAACAGCAACAAATCAAGCAAAATGTCTTGGGCGGTTTTATGTAGAAAGCATTATCCATTTCTAACGAGATTCCCAAACAGAACAGAAGCTTTTAACAAAAATTTAAATGAGAGAACAACACTAAGCCTACTCTTTAATCAAGGAGCGCGATTTTCTTTAGGTACTTTATGTCTGAAATTTATTTAAAAAATTAAAGTTGAATATTAGTTTTACCATACACTATAACCATCTTAATAATTTTTTAACTTAAATAAAATTTGAAACGTCGAAATTTTTTATCAAAAAATTATATTTTTTTTTTACTACGACTTCTACTACATAATTATGTAATACTTTTAACTCTAATGCCCAAAAAATATTTTTAATTATCTCTTATAAACGTATTATGTACATACTTAATTTTATTATCTTGAATTCAACTTTCGACTTTCTTTTCATTTTAATTCCGCGCCCCTCAAAGGAACTATATTTTTTTCGTTTCCACTCGACAACCGTGCCTCCTGGGTTGTCGTGAGGAAATCTCAACTTTCGATATTATAAATCAAATATAATTTAATTCTTACCTTCTAAAAACTGTCGTGTGGGCAAGCGAAGAGAAACTTTGAGAGAGGAGGCGTACGCAGAGTCAATGTACCAACAGGGATCACGGCGGTCACCCAGCCTACTATCGCTACCCCTGCAAAAGCAGATAAACACGACCAATTAATCTTTGCAAACAATATAAAAACTTGAAAAATAGCACTCGAGAATGTAGACGGAGTAAACTATGTCAAAAGTTTGCTAACAGCAATTTCATCCTGTTGGTCCGTTTAAACAATGGCCGCGAGTGTTAATAAATAATGATCCATTTTCAGGAAAACCATCGTTAATAATGCTATTCGCTTTAGATGGCCAGTAGATAAGGGTGAAATTTAATAAAGCTCAACATGAGAACATCAGGAGGTAGGTTGGAAACATATATAGGATGCTTTAAATATTTGCTTTATCTGATTATCCATGTAGGTATAATATCTTTATAAAACATCAAGTTGCTTTGTACTTGCCCCTTGTTCTATCATTTATATCTTGATTTATATAAGGAATTAATTTGAGTGCAAATAAAAACATTTTACGTATATGACAATATTTTAGACCATGGTAAAGAAATATTTTAAACAAACTTAAAGTTTAGTTCCCAGTGTCAACAAAATCACGGTATCACGTAATCCATACTAATATTATAAATGCAAAATTAACTTTGTCTGTCGGTGTCGCTTTCACGCCAAAACTACTGAACCGATTTAAATAAATTTTGCTACACAGATAGTCTAGAACCTGAGGAAGGACATACGCTATTTTTTAATTGGAAATCAGTGTTGTAAAGGGTTGAAAATATCTAATTGATAATAATATAATATAATTGATATTCGTTCAAGGGCTTCAACGCGAGCGAAGCCGCGGGCGAAAAGGTAGTTAGGTAATAAATACAAAACAGAAATAATTATTAATGCTCATATAAGCATGCAAATGTATGGTGCAAAATACAAACAAATAAAAATGTTTTCATTATATTAAAAGCCGGATGTACATTTGAACGTACATGATTTTCACTGCAACATGTCCATACATTAACTCAAAATATATTAGCTGAGACGGCAAATATATAAAAAAGAGGTTATGTGGAATCAAAAAACATCGCAAATATATTGGCTGATTATTAAAATTTGTTGAATACGCAAGCGAAACTCAGTTCACATAATTACCTACCCGGTGTCCATTTTGTATATCATCTACGAGGGCACGGTATAAAGTTTATTCAGATTAAAATTCGCTAAACGACGACATTCAAAATAAAAACTACATGTTTCCTTCGTGCATATGTCAAACTAAACTATTTTCGGAAAGCCATATAGCCAAGTTCACGATGCTCGGCTGAAACATAAATATCTTTCTCAGACTCTGAAATTGTGAATACCCTAGCGCTAAATAAAAGAACCATGGATTATCCTTCGAACCAACGTGAAAATCGATTCAATATCACTGCTAGCATGTAGATGGCGCTCTAAACATATTTTATAAGTTTATTAGCATGAATTGTTAGATGGCGTTATCTTAGATGTTAGTTTAGTGAAAATAAGCCTCGGCAAAGTAATGTAGGATTTGATAGGATTGTTGTAATTTTTGGCACCCAAAAAACATTTTTTTTTCTAAATTCTGTAATTTTTTCGTTTGTTTGATATAAGTTTTTTAATCATAAAAAGTAATTAAAGATAGAACCTTTAATTAACCCTCCGATCGCGTTTTATAATTTGTTTTGTTATTATTTAGTCTTTAAATATTCACTGATGTCTCATGGTCAGATACCTCGAGAGAAGCCTGTAAAGCAAAGCAGGTTTAAGTTGGCAGTCAAAAGACAGATGTCCCAAATAGCGACACTGCATCTCAGTCATGATATACCAATGTGCGGATGTAGATTATGGCTATCTCACTCATCAGACGAAACGCCGAAGTGTAAAACTCTACTTCACGCCGGTCTTCTGTGAGGTCTTGCGGACCTGCCTGCTATTCGTGCAACAGTGAACTCTGTTGCGTGCCCCTACCACAGTGTAATGAAATTATATCTGTAGATTCCATGGAAAATGTTAAAATGACGCCAGCGTATGTGACAACGAAAGAAAATCTATAGCATTCCATGTCTAAACAATTAAAATTCTAAATTTTGTCAGCGTTATTTTGGGTTGTTTGTTACAGAAAACGTAGGTACAGTGGATACATTAGAGACCGCTGAATTAATACTTGGCGCTCGGCCGTTTAGACAGCTATTTGAGATTAAGTGGAGGGATTAAACTCTTGGAGCAGATCGACAGACGGTATAATGACATGCGGAATTAGAAACGAATTCAACTCATTGGGACGTAATAATTTAGCCATTAATACCTAGATAGCACCTAATTAATTTAATTTAATTGTTTGCTGTTCACACCTTCTTAAGCTTGTTCAAATCTAAAAATTCGTAAACAGAAAACCATTTTAATTCGTCCTTCTGACAGACTTTGGACTAGTATAAGCTATGAAGGTATAGATACTTTGAAGGACTTTGTCGTTTGGGCGGCATTTGATGGCTCAAGTTCATTCCCGAACACATTTTGTGTATTGGACGCGAGAGATAGCTGTATTTACTATAAATGCCACTTAAACGGTTACATAGACAGACCTATTCGACTATCAATTAGCTAGAACGAAAGACGTTTTCATTTAAAGTCCTATTGACTTATAATCTATTAGACTACGAGTCTGGGAGAGTGCCAGTTATCATTTTAAAGCGTGTTTATTGCTCGTTGTACGCATCAATTGGAATGCGTTATTCACGCAATATAATTATGTATTAAATGAAAGTAATACGATAATGTCTTAAAAACTAAGCAAGAAAACTCGAAACACGTTTTGCGCCGTGATTGTTCAGTGCCTGAGCGCTCGCTTTAAATTCATCATACTCGAGTTGAAATTCTGGTGCCGGCACCAATAAAATTTTTAATTTTAATTGCTGACTTCACATGCTTAAGGATGAAGGGAAACATCGTCAGGAAACGTGCATATTTTCGAAATAATAAAAAAATCAGTCGTGGGTTACATAGGCTGATACTTTAATACACATTTTATATATGTGGTATAATATGTATTTGTTTACAAAAGAAAAGTATGTTTAAGTATGTTCATCAGTTATCTAGTACCCATAGTACAAGTGTTGCTTAGTTTGGAACTATAGAACTTTGTGTAAAAATGTGTCCTAAGTATTTACTTTTTTTCGAAACTGCGCGTACTAAGAACTGAATTTTAATAAACTTCGATTACAAGGTTGATACATAAATAGTCGTTGTGATGGCAAAATCACATAGTTCAACTGGTCCCTACCCTAACCAAACAAACGTAAAGAAAGATATTATTTGCAACATTTTTGCTTTTTTCACGCGTTCCAGGGCGATGCTCAAAGCGCATCATACTATTCCGACATTCCTTCACGTTAAATAACGTATGGATGAGCCTATGCGTGGCCTTATCCAACATGAAGTGTCTCATCTAGCCCTGCGTTCAATAAAGCTTTATTAGTCTACGGACTTATTGAAAATCATCAGTCAAAGTAAGCTTTCTGGAAATAGTTCCATTGCTTTTCCGCAAGATAGCGATGTTTTTATTTTTCTAGCCAGCCTTTAGTTCGATTCCCAAATAAATTATCGCTATCGATCGCTTGAAGCTCGCCCGTCGATTAATCAGTTCGAAGACTACGCTCTCAATTTTAAAATAATCTCAGATATCGCACGAATGTGTCGCAAGGGGCACAATGTTCGCTTTCGTAACAATTTCACGAGACACGGCGACCATTAGTTTCGATTCCGTAGACATCGAAAATAAACAATTCGTTTTTATGTAACGGAACGCCGGGCGGGGAATATTCGAAGATCGCTCCGAAGAGAATTTTTGTTTTCATGTCTATAAACTGTTCTTGGGTTTGAGAGGTGTTTAAGACAGGACCACTGTGTGATGTAATAAAAAGCTCGAAGGGTTTTTTGAATGTTAAATGAAACTAGTTTACGGATTTTATGACGTTTTAATTTTGATTATCAATTCCCGACATTTCGAACCCTTGTTGTTTCGAACGTTCGTAGCAAGATTGCTCACCATCAAACGTATTAAGTAATTTAATTAAAGTATTAAGACTATTACCTACAGACATACGCAAAATTGACTACATTTTGCTTACGTTGCAACAACCATGACGAAGAAACCGAGATGTTCATCAGATTAGGTTATACCTTCAGCAGATAATGCAAAACTATGTAGATGCTAAAAAACAATATATCTTAGTCTGACTTCACTTCAAATTTAGAGAAATTTAGTGAAGTATCACGTTTATATAGTAAGAAGATGGCAAGCGAGAAGTCCATTATTCTTACGTTGAGACACCAAATTTAAGTTTACTCATTGTTTTACTTCACTTGATATACGTACTCGCAAACAACATCGTGACCGTTGCGTCCGTTGTGCGACGACAAAGCTGTCACCTTTGCGAGTAAATAATGCATTTGAGTGTCTTCAGTTACCTCCAACAGGGTAGATAAGTATTGAAAGACGCGAGTATACGACAAATGATTATAAATCTTAAAGCCCACGGTCATAATCACCTGTTTCCATTTTGTTTACTCGTGATATCTTTGCTTAATTATATCTGTGCATACGGCACGTTACTATCGTTCGCTTTACGTCACCACGACACCGTCCGTTGTGTTTGAACTTTAATGTCGGATTTATCTGCGTTACGTTCAGCCCCTTGGCATTCCAACGATAATTGATTTCGTTTATTGTCGAATTACCACGAGACGTTATCACCACTCGCTCGTGCTAACTCGAGTTTCTTATGTCGATGGGATTTGGCAAGACGAGGGCGCGTTTGAAATACACGGAATTGTACTGTCCGTAACGTTGTGTGACTTCCTCTCGTTTGACGTTGACGATGCGGATAGCATTTGAAGTACACCCGAGGAAGCGAACACCTAAAGGGCTTGAAGCGAAGACATCAGCCGCTGTGTATGCTGTGATACCGTGATAGGCCACGTAACGACGTTGGCAGTTCCGTCCGGGGAAGTACCACGACCTCACAGAAGACCGACGTGAAGTGTTATACTTCTGCGTTTCTTCTGACAAGTGAGGTAACCGGTTCCCATTTTATTAAAAGGTAACGCAGTTATAAAGGCAACGCATTTCCAACCCCAGGTCTTATGAATGTCTATGGGCGGCAGTTATACATCTCCCATGTATACTACTCTTCTTTCTTACTTTATCTTATTAAAATTTTTATTAAACTGTTTATTTATGATTTTCCTGTTTGAGAAAACTTAACTGGCGCTTTTGAAACTTGTTAAACATAATTGTAAGTGTGGTGTATACTCTACGTTTACCAAATAAATGAAATAAATTATAATGACAAAAACCTTTAATCGTATACGAACTGACACTTCACAAATGCCCACGGAAGCTAGTAAAGTAGACATATTCCGTCTTGTTGTATTGTTAACGATACATGAGATAATATTGAGCTATTTGGAAGGCTACAAATATTAATATTATAGATCGTATTCGATGTTTACGTCTCGTTGAAATTAATGCCCGCGTAACGGACTTTATGAGTTGCCATTAATCATATTGATATATCATAAACAAACCCTTTTGATGTGTTGTTTTTGGTTTTATTCATAAATAAATTGCTCGTTTATTTCAATGTAATTTTCTCATTTTATATTTTCGATTTCAGTATTCAGCCTTACTTTAAGGAAACTTAAAATTTGAATTGAACAAGTCAATGGAAAATGCAGAGTGTTTTTAAAACTTAGGACACAAGCCTTCGTATTGAGAAATGTAAGTATGTACACGAGGTGATGGAAACTGTGGTTATAACTTTTTAAAATGATTTTTTTAAAAAGATTGCCGATGTCCATATTACAAATTGTTCCGCTTTACATATTACATATTTAAGTAAATATGACAGATGATGATAAATGTGACGTGACGTATGATAGGGAAAGAGATAGCAGTCTATACAGTTGCACCAATTGACGTAATTTGAATGCCTCAATTTCGTAGTTAGTGCGCTAGTATCATATCTACCTCGTACCTGTATATAATTATCATTGCCTTTTTGGACCAGTGAGTCCCATAATTATTTTCACTACACTATTTCTCGTGTTTCGTGGCCGTCTATGGGGGTGGCCTATGTTCAGCAGTG